TCTTACATTCTGGTAACGATTAGTCCGAATTTTCGGATATAAGTCACAACAGAATGTTCCTGCGTTAACAAATCTGTTTCAAATAAATGAATTACCTACTTTGAAAAATCTTTAGATATGTTTAGATGTATTCCCCACTCATGATGAATTTTCTCATATTCAATAAATCGTCTAATTGCGACAACACAGAATTGACGAGCGGAGGAACTAAAATAATGATACGCATGGAAAGTAAGCAACACTCTAAAAGCTTCGACATCCTAGCCCTCTTACGCCTCGTAATATTTCAAGTTTACACATTTTTGAAAAAGTTTCTCAACTCGTAAGTATCTTATAGCTGGAATAACCAATGGTTCCTATCCTTTCTGTAATAGGCAATTTCATGAATCAAGTTCATAAATAAGCATAGTCAGTTTTATCAATGACACTTTCGACACAAGAGCGATATCGCTTTATGATATGCTTGTTAATCGACCGTGAATAAAATTCCGAAATACAGCGAAATTGTCATTAGAAAGAGATTAGAAAGAAATTACAAAATTAAGATTAACGAAAGATAATGAATAAAATCAATCATAGAAATACGTGCCTGTGATTACGAAAGTGTTTTGAAGAAGAAATTATTAAAGTTTTGCGTTTGACGCACGAACTGAATTCAGCTCAACGGCGCAACAACCAATTCAATCCAATTCAATTTCTACTACCTTGCAGAAATTCTTCCAGATTATTGTAATGTAAATAAATACAACGCAGAATAAGCGATAAACTCGTTTTTTAAAATTCCTGACTTAGGTCACTTTCGTAATCACCGCCACGTATGTGTAATGTATGTTTGATTTTACATTATGAATTCAACGTATGAAAAGTTCGTTGGTAAAATATCTGAAAATTTTGCAAGTTACATACGCGCATAGCGTACACGTTAAAAGCACGCACAAGTCAGATTTAATATCTAATGAGAAATTACAGTAAAATAGAGTAATGCTCAATGTGATTAAATATGTCCAATAATAGCATTCGCAAATCATTCTTAGAAAGATCCGCGATTCGTAAGGAAGATAACAACTTTGCAAACTGAAATTCATATTGTCAAATAATTTGTTTGCTAAATGTTCAGATACTGCGAATGCGTGTCTCGTTGCATAAAGCGATAAAGCGAAATTCGTATATAACATCGTCTAACCGTTAGAAGAATCACTATAATATTACTTTTTTCAGCAAAAAAAAAGGTAATATGTATGTCTCATGTATGCAAATGTCAAAAAGTCAAACGATGTAATGGATTTATTTACCAACGATTTCCTTGGTAATTGTCGAGTGCGCCACGGGCACCTGAGATGATTACGCAATTGCAATTTAACTGGGTATAGATTTCGTTGTGACGCTCGGAGACTGCATTAATACGGAGTTCCAGCCGATTGTTACTTCCGCCTCGTCGTGCCACAAGAAGCACGCAAAGAATCGCGGACCTGACTTTATGATATATTCGCGAGTGAGAAGAAGTCGCAGTACCAGCAACGTTCAACGTAAAAACAAAGATTTCAATTAAAAGCTTGTGCTAAAATTATCAAGGCTTAGTTGACGTTCGTCGTTCGCGATAAAACTGCTAAATAGACAAGAATCGAAAGAGAGAAATGAAAATACAACTGAGAAAAGCTACGATGTTACGATGATGTTCTCAAAAACAATAAAATTCACTGAAATTCATACAGGCTCCATGACGATGACTATGTACTGTAATTAGTAAGTATTGTGAAACGTTACGAGCTTCCGGCATCGGCTATTAATCAAAAGCACGAACATTTTTATATGCGAAACATGCGCGTAATAGAACTATAGGTGTACGAGAAACCGGTAAACAGTTGTGAATGGAAGTAAATGTCGACAAAAAACGTCCATGATGATATAATAGATATAATAGTTATAATGATATAATAGATGATATAATGTAATAACCTAAGATAGTTCTATACCAATCTATAGAGTAAAACGATCAATTTAAAGTAATGTTGATCAACGTAACATATTTATGAAAGAATAGGATGAAAATTCCGCCAAATGAAATATTTAGAGCGAGGAAGAATTGACAAATAGAGCAAAATGAAAAGATGGAAGATTAAAATTGTCATTGTACGAAGAAGCTACTGTACGTGCCAAATAAATCCAATGAACAATGTTGCACGCCATAGTACAATAATGATAGATATTTGACTGTCATGTGTAAAAATGACAAAGCTACATTGTTTTTAAACAGTTACGTGAACATCGAATAAAGAACGTAGACGCTATACTATCATCTACTTACTATGATAACCGATAGAATTTTTGTTTCCCTAAAAATCCAATATTCTTATAAAACACAATGTATAAATAATATTATAAATTGTATATAAAAAAAACCGTGAGATGCGTTTAATTAAGATTGTATGCACTGCAATAGAAGCACATGACCGTTTATATACGTACGATGTAATTCGCAAGATATTTTAGCAATTGATTAAATGTGTAATAAAATAGTGTGGAAAAATAAGCGATCCTGATAGAAACATTAGCACTTACAACAGAGAGCACAAAGTATGCAAGAGAAAGCGAAAACACGCGAGAATTCTATTAGTCTCACCTTGACCTTAGGCCACGTGCTTCCGCATGGACTCAGGAAGGACTTCCAGGTCGCGAGTCCTATATGGATCGCGATCCTCGAGTCTTTCCTTGCTCGTGACCTCCCTCGTCCGCCGAGTAACTAAAAAATCACTGAGCGCTATGAGCGCTCTAGTTTACGCGAATAAACGCGGGGTAACTGAGGCTCGCTCTTGTGTCAATGGCAATGCTCCCCTACTACATATTTCTCTATCAAAACGAATAATAAACGGGGCATCATTCAGAAGACGCGTTATCAACGAAGCACCGGTGCTGACATCTCATTATGTTTACCCACGATGACCAGTTGGCACCGATTCCAAAGGTATCTTGAACTACGGTTGGTTGCAGTCTATGCTAAACATACAACAGTCAACGTTCATTGTTTGAACGAGCAAACTTTTCCACTTATTTCTTTGTTTGAGGAAATGAGAAGGGGCACACCTCACCGATTTCAATGAGCTTGAAATATGTAGTCAAAACCAACATTCTGAACAACTTTCTCGCATACATGCAACTGTCGTTCGTTCTTCATTTCCGAGATATTCACAAAAATCTGCGATTAAATTTAATTTCGATTGCGCTTCATACTGGCATACAGGTCGTCACATTTTGATATAGCTCAACCTACACTTAACTCATTGACGCTAGTCGTCTTTAATATAAATAAAACAAGATAAATCAGCGGGCTATAGGTTGGAGTAGATTAATATTCGGCCGGTAAGGCAAACGTGACTTAATTCTTAGTTCATGCGATTTTGTAAGTGCATGATAAATTCGACTACTACGATTTATTATTATTTACATACAGAGTCCGAATAAAATGTAAGTGCGGGAACGGCGTGACTCCCTGTGTAAAAATAAGAGAAAGATATAGAATAGAATTTTTTCATTTTCGGCTTAGTTTTCGAGATCGAGTTTAGAAATTTGTCAAGTATACTTGAACATGGCTAATTCCAGGACAGAACTAAGTAATCGACAGGAGGTCATGCTACGTGTAAAAATATAGTGGAAATATATATGGTATATGGTTATCATTAGATTACGTGTGTTCATTAGGAGAACATGTATACATATGTATTTGTTAATTCTGATTATAACATTATTATATACATGACGAACAAAGAGATAGTGCAACATTTCCTATATCAATAAATTCATTAAAAATTATTTCTTGTTAACATTGCCGGCCACTTAATGACGCCGATTACACTAGTACTGAATAGATACTAGAGTAGAGTGGATATTACTCTAACCCAACCCACAACTCAAATAAACAATAATAAATGTAATAATAATTTAAATGATCCATACATATTTCGACGTCTGGCGCTTGTTTTTGCATCAATCGATTTCGATGAAATTTTCAGCATGTATAGAATTGATATGGATCTACTAAACGTACTTCTTCGTTGCAAGCACATATAAAAAGGTTGTACAAATTGATCTTTACTACTTTCATCGCCATTCCTACAATATAAATTTTCTTCTTAAAGTTCTTTTTTCGTATCATCCAGTGAACTAATCCTTTCACCTCCTCACAAAAGTTCAAGTTTGACTGTATCTATTTTGTAAAATTTTGAAGAGATCGGTTGATTAATCATTGATATATCATGGAAGCCAATTCGCTAAACACAATTTGAAATTTCGCATCCAGCAACCTCTAAAGCAATAACTTTACCATTTTATCGAATTCAGGAGTAAAAATGTAGGAAACCATTTACGAGGTACAACAGTTTAAGAAGAATGCAGTAAAGGAATCGTCAATTTTTTTTCTCCACTAAATGGGAATATCCTCTGAAGGAATATTAGCTTAAAAATAGATGTACAAAATTCACAAAAATAAATCGATTGTACAAATATGTACATCACTTTTAAATACACCACTAACTCTACTAATCTAACTAAAGGAACTCTACTTTTTCTTCCTTGAAGACATTTTGTAAGGCAGGACATCAAAGAGTGACGAATTTATAAAGATTCACGAAGGAAGCCAAATCGTTGAGTTATTTTGCCAAAAGGCGCAACTGGTTATTTTTGTTCGGTCGTTGCGGGTCTGACTTAGACGTCGAGGGCGGTTTCCCCTTTGCTCGTTTTTGCGGCCCGCCGCGACGCTTGGCGTCCAATTCCACAAGGCCATTAAGATTATCTTTAGCCACGAAAAACGACAAGATCGGGTTCCATCGAGGCGACGAAGTCACTTGCCTTGGTTACAGGAGAAAAAGGAAATTTGTCGTAAAACTGGTGAACGATAGCATCGAATAAACCCGTAATTCGTTTCGTATCATTAAGACAAACGATTCATAAAGGACTTTCTGATGGAATAAGTTTGGACAATGAGGATACCATTAAATAATATATAATCTTCTGAAAATTAAGATTTTATTTCTTTTTTTTCTGATTTTTCGGTAATCAATGTTTGTGTTTCGTCTCTTGCAAAGAGTTCAGATGACATGCGAAAGCAACAGACAACAATAGTCGCGATCTATCATTAGACCAAGACGCATTCGCTTTTTATTTCTTTCCGAGACGATATACATATTTATTTCTGTTTCGTTTCGTTAACTTACTAATAGGGTGTATAATATTAATATTATTAATGATAACAGGCGATATATTACAACCGTTAATCCTAAGAGTATAGGATATTCGAAAGTGTGATGGTAGCCGTGACGAAAATACGCATTCCTCACGGCTTAATCCTAAAGGTTTTCTTCATCACGTCGCAACAGATTTTTTCCGTTCGCAGTAAATTTGAACGATCACGTATCTCGTTCGCTTTGTCATTAAGTACATGAACAATAGTGAGTAATCGATAATGACAATAATATTATCAATAATTAATAGTAATAATAATTATCAATTTATAATAATAATAATAATAATAATAAAATAATAATAAAATAATAATAATATCATGTATCAATAGTATTAATTTATTTTCCTATTATCTTAATCGAACGATTAATGTAATAATTAATTCCTAACACTAAGCCTCCCTAACAGCATCTTTTGCTAACTTTTTACAGGACTTTTGGTTACCATCTCCATTTCTTCTTTCATATTACCTCTACTTAAAATTCTAACAAATCTAATTAACTTCATCTCGAAGGGTTTAGGACTAGACAGCCTCATTGTTCATAGCCTGATCCTCTGTCTCCCTTCTTGTGTGCTAGTTACTTCTTTTATTTTCGATCTTCTCGTTTGGTCTCCTTTTATTTTTTATTTCACCCCTGTACACGCGTTAGCGAATAGTTTCTCGCTAACGAAACACTGACTAGTTTTTAACCGTTAAAATTATTCGGTCGTGCTAATTAAGGCACCTGATTACTTTAAAATGGGACGAACGAATTCCTTGTGTCTTGCAATTTTTTCTTAAGCAACAAACAATTAGTAGTAGCGCACATTAACGTTGAAGAATTAATAATTAGGTAAATTGATCCGTATTTAGAATAAATTGTAACAATATATAACAACTGTAATTCGTTAATAAATATATTGTCGCAAGTATACAAATGAAGTCGCGCTAAAAATTAAATGATACGCCTATTATTCGTATTTAAAAATTCTATCAACATTTATTCGCGTACAAAACAATAGTTTTTGTTGATCAACGGAATTTTGGTGCTTTTACGTCTTCGTTTTTAAGTATTCGTCTTCGCTTAATTTCATGATTATCAACATTCGATAACCAGCAATGTCGATTCGTTCGTCCGTTGGTCCTCACTGTTCATTTAAATAACATCTATAAATTATGCAAAGAAGGCATTATCTTAAGACACTTGGTGATTTCGCTGACACGCGATTCTAAGGCAACATCGGTTTAATTGTAACGCAATCGTCATTACTTACAATCCCTTGATATGCTTTACTCAAATGAATCTTTTGAATCTATTGACAGAATTTTCATTTCAGAATAGTTGTTCGATAAAAATTCTTTTTAGCGAATTTCAAATAGAATACTTTCGAAGAAAAAATTAATTCCACGAAACTAAAAGTTTTTACTAAATTAGAGTTTAACAAACATTTGACGTCGAATTTATAAAATTTAACATTTTAAGTTAATCTTCGTTTACTACAATAATTAAAAACAACGTATCGTTTGTACATAAGCGGGAGTTGCTAAAAATATAATAACATCGACGTAATTTAAAATCAAACTTAACTTATTGAGAAATACTTCCCTACGTACTTTAAAATAAAGGAACGAGAGTGTATTGAAAAACTATTGCTCTTTTAGTATCTAAATAGATAAAGAGTTACTTTAAAGTTTCGTGGAAAATTTATTTCTAAATTTTTCATATGTCTGCCATAAAAAGAGCGATGTTCCTCTTTCATAAAGTGGAAAACATATTTCATTAAGTTCAATATAAATAAACTGAATTATTCATTTAAATGTAAAAAGTTTATAGTTTTTGACCAATATTCAGAAATGATATCTGTATCACTCTCAGTCCTAAAGGATCGTAAGATAAACAATTGCAATGAAATAGCGATTCGTGAAGAACACCAAAAGTTATTCGTCGATACTGGAAGTAACCGTTTCATCCCCCAAAACTTATCATCATTTAATTAACGCTTACTATCTCGTAAAAATACATGTCTCGAACAATATCAATTCTGAATACGGATCAGTCTTTCAGTTCTACCTAATAGCGAGTAATCGTCGTCGTTCGAATCGTATCTCAGTTACTTGTAACTGTCAACATCGCAGATCTCGATCTCGGATTTTTCCTTAACGTACGAGCGGTACGTAAGCGTACAAAGATCCGGCGTTTCTAAAATGTTCGCGCGTCTACTGAAAGCTTCTATTACCCATCGTGCTCCATTAGTTATAAATAATCATAATGCTAACAACATTACATATCATCTTGTATCTCGAAGTACATTGGCCGAGAATGCCAAAGTTTGGCCCTATAAAGGAGAACGTGGAAAGGAAGATTAAGGTGGGGAAGATTAAATGTTAAGTTAATAAGAAACTGCCAACCGCCGATCCTGAATGACACAGATCACATCCACGGAGCTTCCTCGTTTTCTGCCTCTCATCGGGCGTCGTTCCCAAAATTAACTCGTGAGAACGTGGAGTTAGATTCCGAGTAGTTGAAACAATGGCTCCTTCGTGCGCGGTACACCCGCACCAAATAATGCCTGATCCTCGAATAAGGAAGGAACTGAATCGTCGTAGAGGCAGATGAAGACTACACGTTTATACGGCGGTGAGGATCAAGTTTTGTGTTGCGAGTTTAATGCCTGTGGGACAATTGATGACGGTACGAATTTCCTTGCAGCAATTTGTCCAACTTCTATTGCAATCTTGCTTCCTGAGGCGTCGTTTGATACGGGAGTCCTGGGAAGGCCGCGCCTGCCGCTGTTGCAGCTGCAGCCGCTGCTGCTGGTAATCCTGCTGCTGCACCTGGTAACGTTGCATACGTATACGGTGTCACGTAACTTGCTGCTGCTGCGTTCGCTGCAAAAACAAAGAAACCGCTTTCTAAGCTCCTGGATGTTTCTCAGATCTTAGCGCAGGTAATCCTTTGAGAAAACAATACCGATTACGACTAATATGAATGTAAACGGTATATTTTCAAATATTGCACAAAAGCATTTCTATTTACAATATGCTTTTACGCTTTCCACTCTAAATAACTCGCTAGAAGGAAATCAACCAGTTGACATAGATTGACAATTTAATTTTTCTTCGAGAAATTAAATTATCGAATTTTAATGTCTTTTAATGAATTTTAATATAACAGGATTACCCGCGCTTCTTCCTAAAAAAATATCATTATTGTAAATATATCTTTAATTTTTACTCATTTTTGATTAAGTCTTACATTTATCGAAATTCATTTTCGATTCTTTGCCAGGACAATATCATTGCATGATAAAAGCTTACTGTCATCCATCGTGACATTTTTCCCACCACCACCGTAGACAGCACATCAGAGCATTAACAAAATTTGCATGTCGATCGTGTTGAATGCAAAGCCAGCATAAGCATGCAATGTTGCATTTCCACTTTTTACCATGTCTGTTATACCAACAGCAGAACATTCCAGCGCAAATTAAAGAAACTGTACAAGCACTTTTTGTGTGATCATATTTCTGAGAACGTACGAATAACATAAAAGTAATAACAAATAATCTTGAAAGTAATAAAATGATCATTTAGCACATATTTCGGAAAACAGACTGTAGAAAGTTCTCCTGGTAAATGCAAACTGCATTGCTTTAATTTTGAGAAAGCTTTCCAATAACCGATGTAAATCGAAAGAGCTACAAAACATACAAATGTGAAGAAGCGATAAGTGAAACGAATAAAAAATATTCTCAGCAAGATTCCCACTAAAGATATCAAAGATATCATTCCCTAATTCTAAAAACGTACGAGATCAATTTTTTATCTCATTGTGTCAATTTCTTTTAAGAATCATGTTAAGGTTCGTTCTCAGTAAGAAAGACGCAATAAACGAGATATTTGAGAAGCCTTAAAACACGAATTTCATCATAGTCAAAAAAATCTGCCAAAAATGTCGACACGTGCAGCTTTTTAAGTATTGTTAATCTTTACTAAAACTACCTTGTTACGCAAACTTTATCAAGTGTAATCTAGCTTCCACATGCAATCTTCTATGAACAACATAAAAGATATTAAGATACATTATACGCACATGCGTTCAAAATTTATAGAGAAATATTTTATCCTTAAACACTACGACTTTATGAATTTGCAAAACTTTTAGATATACAGTAGAAATAAACAAATTTTAAACATTAATAAATTCGAACTATTTTTTTTAACTTTTCGAGAATAGATGTGAGATTAACTTTGTAAAAAGAGAAAAAAAAACTAATTGAAACCCGGTAAAAACTTGTGCACATTTGAAGAATAAGTTTGATAGTTAATTTGGAAAATTTGTGGGAATCTTGCAGAGATTCCTCATGGAAGTAGAGCTACTTCACTACGATAAAAACAGAAGAACGATATGATCCAATTCCTCTTTTATTCTCTCTCACTCTCGCATACATTTCCGTTCGCTCTATCGCTTGCGTTTCTTCTCTTTCGGTGCGCTTGGTTTTCTAATAATTTTCTACCGTTGCTACGTAGCACGGACGGCAGAAAGGGCGGCAGGAGAGCTTTCTCCAATCGTTGGCGTGCCAGCACCGCAGGGCTGCTACCGTTGTGCTGCTGGTGGTGGTGTATCAGCCCGTTGCTGTCCTTGCTCTGGACACTTTTCAAACACATACCAGCCGCGGCGGCGCTGGTATAAGGATACGCCTCGGCGAAATTGTACGATGTTCCCGGATACGTGGCGGCCGC